TTTCATTAAATGGTTCAATCTTGGAGAAATATGGAATTATTGACAGCATCTAATTTCGTATGATAGGGGCAAAAGAGATAGGTTCCATAAATGCGATTTTATGATTGTTGTATAAATAATAATTAGAAGGGAGAATGGAACTTGTTGTCCAGTGCTTTCCGAAACTAGAGTGCAATAGTGTTGCAGAATTGGTACTGAAAGTTAACACCACATTAGAAATTATAGTATAAAACGGGCTGAATTGTGCCACTTAGTCACTCTTCTTAAAATTGCATTTTTCCCCTATGGTGCATCCGAGTGATTACAAATCGGTTTCCAAGATGAAGTGATGTATGTTTTATTATGTACCACCGGATTAATCAACAAACTATTTATAGAGTGCTCTTAGCCACTCGAATGGACACAAATGTGTCCTCTTAGAGGCAATTGTTGGAAGAGACACATAGAGCTAAACATAAAAGGTACAAAAAAGGATCATTTAAAGTAAATACAAAAATTAAATGGTTAAAATGTTCGGAGAAGAAAAATGATAAAGTGTATCACATACACGTCCACACCTACGCTTGGTTCGGTGCATACCAAAAGATAACATGGATAAATTGATCAATTCTGATACTGATCAACTCATCTATTCTTGTTTACTAAAAAACAAACGAGGCCTCTCATGTGGGAAGTAGAAAGTAGTTGGCAATACCAAACAACCGGTCAAATATTTTCGTATATCTAGTTTGATGTGTAATGAAGGTTGAGACGAGTCTTGATCAGCTGCCAATATAGACATGTCAAATGGGTTACATGGAACATTGGAATCCACATGGGTCATTGGGTCAGACTGCAATTCCCCCCACCACCCACCCACCCACTTGGAGCTGTCATCGAGTTGAGTTTGGGTCGGAACTAGTTAGAATCAAAACTATTCTAACAAGAAATATTGAGGACCTGGAACTGACCCAAACTTGATAGGTTCTATAACTTTTAGACCTAGAACCGAATTGACCAGTTCCCAAGACAATTGGGTTTGACCCAACAAAGCCGATTATAATAAATAAATAAATAAATATGTAGATATAAGTCAGGTCGGGTCTGAATCGGTTTAGGACAAGATGAAACCAGTTTTGACTCGATAATAATTGAGACACTATGGAGGCGTTCCTTTGTTGGATTTTGAGAGGGGGGAAAGTTGGTCAATAGTATTTTGTTTCCCATTAATCAAGAATCCTATGTTCATTTTTCAGATTAATGTGGGGACTAGTGAAATTTTATTTTCTGGGATATCACTTACCTCCTAGGTGGGTAAATAACTTTTCCACCTAGGAAAAAGTTGCTAACACTTGAATGGGACAAAAATGCCCATTTTAATAATAAATTTTTATGACTAAAATGGTCATTACCTTATTTAYCTGAGAAATAAAAGAATATGAATAAATACACTTACCTGAATAAGTATTTCCTAAAAAAAACTTAACCAGATAATTGCATTTACCCAGATAAATAACTTACCGAAAAACGAATAGGGCCTATATTAAAACCTAAAACCAGTCCATCGATTCCAATTTGTGGAACTAAAAACCGCCCCCCTCCTGACTCCAAAAAAAAATCAGAAAGGGGTAATTTGAGTTTAATCTACCCCCAGACTTCATAACAAGATTGTATAATTGGGTTCAGTGTCAAAGGGGGATTCCCAATTCGGGGATGTTGTTTATTGGTGGATGGGGAGACTTAATAAATGATTTGTCAAGGGGATTACCGATTTACTCACGGGGATGCTATTTTGGGGGATGGGGAGACTTGGGGGGATTCCCAATTCCATCGGAAGAAGGGGAGACTTAATAAATGATTTCTGGGCAGAGGTATACAGTTTATTGAACTCTTAATCTTAAAGAGGACAAAAAAAGAAGAAGACTTGTCATGTGTACATGTGGTTGATTTCGTATCCCTTACCTTATTGCAGATTCCATTATTTTAAAATTAAACCTAGCACCATTCATTTCGTATTTCATACGCTTGTATTCATAGCAGATTCTATGACCTTGACCTTGACGTTGACCCGAGCAGTTGGTTCATGACTTGGTATCCGTTTGGGAGGGCTTTTGTATTTTGCACGGATTAAGTCATTAAAATTTAAAAAGCTATCTAAGATATAATTTCACCAGAAAGTTATTTTTGGGCTAATGTAAGCTTATCTTTGACTTCTTCTGGTTTCTTACTAAACACGACTATTACTTTTGGGGCTTTTAGCAAGAAAACGCTGCTTAAAACCCTCCCAAACGGGCACTTGGACGGAAGCCATCATCATGATTCGTGAGTTAAAACAGAACTCCACAAACACTAAGAAATTGCAATAAGAAAGATCAACAAACAAGATCAAACATGATTAATTAGTATAAATTAAATATTAATAAAAAAAACTTTATACTATTAATAATATACTATGAAATCTATTATTTGGTTAGAAGAACCTATTAGATTTCACTGCGCTACAATGGAAGACAGCAATTCATCAAATCCGTAAGCACTTTTGGGTCGATATCATTATTTTGAAATTAATTCAATCAGGACCTTGACCCGGGAAGACGCCGGGTGAATGTGTGACAGAATTCTACAAATATCAAATAAAATACAACAAAGATGAATAAACAAGATTTAATATGATTGGTTACCATAAGGCCTGTTTGTTTCCTTTTTTTTTTAATAAATTAAGTGAGAAAGTTGGTCAACTTTTTCATATTCAGCTTTTGATAAGTGTGGGTCCCATAATAAATATATTCTCCCTTGATGTGTCAGTTACTTGCCTTTCTCCCAAATGAATAAATTACGAAGAGATAAATGTCAAAACATCATTGGACAAAATTGTCCATTATAAGAATAGAACATATAGATAAAAAATAGTAAATTATTTAATTTATCCAGATAAATTTAATTATTAAATTTATTTGGAAAAGTGTTATAAGGGAGACACTTTCCCCGATAAATAACTTATTGAAAAGACAATGTAACTCGAGTTCAGATCTGTGCCCTATAAGGCGATATCCCATAGTACATTCCCACTTTGTGTTAGGAACATCTCTCGATGATAATACCAGAACTGATACATGACGAGGATGTGATGTGGGAAGTTGTGGGGTGCCACTTTATAAGGCGCAGATGTGAATTCATGTAACTCAAGTGGTAGTAGCTCTATTTGCCCTAAAATTTTTCTACTTATTTCCCACAATCTAGATAACTTAATAAATAATTATCTCCCAAGATAATGAATTAATTAAACAAAATGCCATGAGAATGGTAGAATCTTCGCTACGAGATCTATAATAGAACAAGGTGCCTCACTTGTAGTGTTCCATATGTAGAGTATTTGCATGAACTTGGATTAATTTCTACCACCAGCTGGTTTACATCAACCTTCACCATGGATCAAAAAGCAGTAAAATGCACGCTGCAACGTGAAGAAAAAGAAGAGGGAGTGAGAGAATACACTAGAAAATGGAGATCGGCTTCACTCAGTGCAAGGCCTATTTGAACATCATTCGAATAGTTTTTACAGCTTTATATTGAGAATATCTCTCTAATTCTGTGTTTTATTTCATGGAGAGATATTCTCAATGCAAGGTCATAATGGTTGGTCGAATGGGCTTTGCGTTGACTGAATCCGATTTCTAGAAAATGGTGTGTTGGAATGTAAAGAGGAGAGAGAGAGAGAGAGAATGGCTATTATACACCGGGAATAAAAGTAGAAAACAAAAAGGCATGGTTTTTAAAACCGGACCAAACCGGACGGTCGGACTAAAAAAACAGGGAATCAGTCACTTGACCGGTTCTGTTTTTCCCAAAAATCAAATTTCTCCTCAAAACCGTTGATTTTGATCAGCAAACTRCTGAATCGAGTGGTTAACCGTTTAAACTGTTTTAACCATTTTTTATTTTTTTTACTTTTCTACCAAAACGGGCCGAACATTAGTTCGGACGATCGGACCGTTTGACCTGATAACGGAACCCTTGACAGATTCGGTCACCAAATCGGTTTTAAAAACCATACAAAATGTAGAGGTGACAAATAAAAGATAAGCAGTAAAAATGAGGTTAGGAAAAATATTAATGGACATGGGAAATAATTCTTATTAAAAGACATTCCAAATTTGCCACCCACAAAATGGAGAAATATTTTCAACCCCCAATTGTAATGTTCCGTGGGTAGAAACGTGAAAACAGCAGTAAATCCAAGCCTATTTATGTTATGTTACATAGGGTTGCATGTTCCTGTCCTCAATTATGCAGCAGATTTTTCTAATCATCTATCTATAGCTACTTGTTGCACTGTTTACGATGGAACCTCATCGGTAACCCCCACATTTTTAGTTTTTTTTCCTCCCCTTGCTCTGGATTTCTTTTATTTGAAATTCATTATGACATTTTTATATAAACATTTAAGTATTTTGTATGACCAAACTATCTTGAATGACTATTCAAATTTATTAAATATTTTTATAATAAAATTACCTAAACATAGTCCTAGGCCCACGTTAGGCTATATATTTTATAGTTGGGCTTTGGCCTAGACATGACGTATTTAATAAGCTTTATTCTTTATAGATGTTTTGAAAAGTCATAATAAATTAAGAAAAATATAAAAAGGTCATAATAAATTATAGATAATATCCTTTTTTTTTTAACCAACCAATTACACCCTTCAAAATTTTCTTTTTCTATAGGGAAAAAGGAACCCAATTTTCTGTTCACTTTATCTACCCACGACCGACCCACAATACATCTCAAGGCAGGTGTAATGTGGGTGAGAGAGTAGTGGGCAGGAAATCCCATTTGTGGAGAAACGGAGAAACATGCCTGTACAGCATACTTACTACCGGTCTTGCCGGTCTCCTTCAGCAATGAATTATTATTTTAAGCTTGCAGTGTGGAGACGTAATCAATAAGCAAAATCGACCACTTTCGTCTATAAAAGGAACCAAAATGGGTGGGGAGGATGTCAAGTACAACAGCAAATTTCGACTCTGTAGGAGCAGTCCTTGGGTTCACTCTTATAGAAGACGATCTTCATCAACCAGGTCACATCTCTCTCTTTCTCAAGTCGTTACGTCTATTTTCTATTTTATCTTTGAATGCCTATTTGATAAATCTTTTTGAGAAGATCTTTTTGTAGATCTAACAGTCAAAAGACATATTGAGCTTTTAACATAAGATTTGGGCAGCCCAAAGATCGTTTGGTAGATGTATATTTCCGTGCATCGCTTTGGGTCTTTCCACGATAGATTAAATCAGCCCAAAATGGGCTTTGTGCGTCTTTTCAGCAACCCATCTTTTGTCGGCTAGATCTTCTGCGTGCCAAATGGAAATAGACCAATTTTCGGTCTTCCCGGCTTGCAAACAGTCGAAAGACCGCACGGAAAGATACGCCAGACGGGCCCTTAATCAGATGAAAGGCAAAAGGCATGTTTATCAGTTTCTTATATTTTATTCAATCGTGATACGGGAAAAATTTATAACCAAACAACTGATATCATAAAAGAGGTGATCAATCGTGTGGTATTCATATCCATTGATTGGTTAAATACTTAAATCTTTTTTGGTACCATGTCTTTCCCGTATCTTACAAGTTGCTAAACACTTTGTAATTCGGTGCTCTGTCATGTTGTTCTACTTGCCATCACAAACACTAAGGTTATATTTGGTTTGATGGAAAAGATAGGGAAAGGAAGAGAAAGGTAGGGCTTGTAAAATCACAAGGTTTCCCTACCTCTTCTAAGTGACTTAAAAGAGACCAAGGTGGCATTTGACAATTCAAAAATGGAGTTTTGATATCAAAAACTCATTTTTTAGAGGTTGGGAGTTACTTAATGTGCCTACTTTTCTTTTTTAATCCCAAACTTTACTCTAGGTGGAGGGGCGACCACCTTAAATTTTATTGATCATTTTCAAAGGGAAATTTGTAATAATAGGGGAGGACTCAGCTCGCCTTGCCCCATGACCCAAGCATGCATAGCTCTCCCTTACCACCTCAGGCCCACCAAAAAGAAAGAGGGAAAAATTCTAAACAAGAATAGGGGAGGACATAGACCCTAATCCAACTAGATACAAACACTCTCTCATAACCTCAATCCCCCTACGAGAGGAATAAAATAGGAAATAAAAAGGACTTTAAGCTTCATTACAAAAACAGACTCTTGGAATAGCTAGACCTTGATTGTCTTGAGCAATCAAAGTTCTCACGTGGTCCATTAAATCAGAAAGATGATTGTAGATGGTCATAGAACCTTTATCCACTCCCTCACTAGCAAGACAATCAGCAATTCGGTTGGCGTCCCTATAAGCATGATGAAATTCAATGTTGAGACCAACTGAGATTTCTTTTATTTTGTTGTGTGTAGTAGACAGACCAAGGAGCAGCAATATCACCTTTCATGATGTTCAGCAAGAGCTGATTATCACATTCCACCTTTATATTGAAAAAAGACTTATCCATTCAAAGTTGTATACCATCAAGAACTGCTAGGAATTCAGCTTGAAGAGAACTGCCTATGAAAATTCCACCAAAAAAATTCCATGATTCTACTACTTCAAAATGCACTCATAGGTACTGGACAAAATTAATTGGGCATTTACCTCGTCAATATAGTATATGTTTGGCATCGATGCTGCAGATACAACACCATTTTTTTAGAAAATGGTGTCTGTTTTTTGTTTGAAAACATTGCTGCCAGGTAGAACGTTTCTTGGAGCAACAACAACATTTTTTGTTTGGTATCAATGTTATAGGAAACGTTTTCAGCACTGGTACCCATTATCCAGTGCTACGTCACTACCACCTCATATCCTTGCTGGCAGCAACGAGCTGCAGTACTTCTAGGAAACGCCGAAAATTCGGCGTCGCTCCGAGCCAAACAGATGCAAGTGGCTGTGAGAATAGTGTGAGCACTACTTTGTAAGGACTAAATTCGAGTTTATTTGCAATTTTGTGTTTAAACTGTCAAAAGGCAATTAGTATCATCATCATCCTGCATTTTCAAGCTTTTGCAGTTGAAGTAGTGTTTCAAATTCATTATATTTGTTTGATTTGTGCATACACTTTTCAGGTTAATTGGTTTAGGGGATTTCTCTGTCTTGGTGCAAACGTCTTCATTGCAGCTTCACAAGGTGCTTTTTTCCCTACATTTTCTTTTGCCATTAACAGAATCATTGTTGTGTTTATTAATTTTTAGTGATATTGTTCTTGCATTTTTATTCGTTTATGCAATATAAGGGATAAATTTGTAAAAGGCACATTTTTCAGTCGCCATAACATTTAGATTAATTACCAATAACTCCACTACATTAAGATGTCTGCAAAAGTAGAAAAGAAAATTTTCCAAGGGTTGATTTCAGAGCTTTATCGAGTTTTTCTCAAGGAACCACTTGGTCAAATAGGCTCTGACAAGGAACTTTTCAACTTAAAAGTTTAAATAGTTAGGTGAGGTCCTTAAATAGGTTTTTATTCTCTAACAGCTTTTTCATTTAATGTTCCTACAAGATTTTGAACTTAGTATTTATTGAATGCCACCTAAGTGTTGAACAAGTTTTTTGATCAATATTTTTTGTTTTGGTATCAGCCTTGCTATCTAAAATGTTTTTAATGGAACATTTATGTTCAATGTAACTCCATCCAACTATACAAATTCTCATCCAAGCTTGAGACAATGGCACAGATGATGTCACTCAAGAGTAGAAAAGTTAAAGAGCAAGAGTGAGCAAGATGGATTTATCTTAAGTTGGTCACCCTCTTTTATACTTGACCTTGCCATGGAGTGGTTGAAAGTTGTTAGGAATAGATGGCTAGGATCTCGTCTGGTCTGTGCCACATGGCGTGATCCTAGGCCTTGCCATGTGTTCCTATATCAATATGTATATATTTATGTATGTATGTATGAATGAACATGTATTTTATCAATAAAAATGTATAATTATTATTTAGATGTAATATATGTATATATAAATATTATTTAATATTTACTTTATACTTTTTAATTCAAATTTTAATTTTTTATTTGTAAAAAATGCTTAATTTGCGATTAAAGGCCCAAATGAGGTTTTCTTGTGGCCAAAAAAATACATAGAAGCATGGATCTTGAAAAATTACCCAAAATAAAAAAAAAAATCATCCCAATCAAACATCTGGGAGCAATGTTATGACCTCTAGAAGTTTGCACATACATTGAGTGTATAAACCATGGCGTGGTGATTGGGTCAAACATGTCGAACAGGTCAACGGTTCAACCTTTTAAGTCAAACAGTTTTTAGCCAAATGGCGGTTTCATGCAAATTGTACCTCAAATCTTGATTGGGTGATAATTTGAATGTATAGTTCAACTAGTCAAGTCAATGGTGGGTTAAAAACATTGGTATATATGTAATGTACCAAAACATATCTCACATTGCCATTCACATAGGATGCCAACTAAGTGCAGCTTAGTTCTACTATTTCTTCAAATGGGCAGCCAATGGAGGAAACAACAATTTGACATTTCTCCCAACACCCTCTTGTTTATGTTTTTAGTTGAAATGGTTTATGACTATTGTAACTCAAAAGTCCTAATGAAACAAAAACTTGGGTTTAAACTCAAAATGCCTACTTGTCACTAAAGTCGTAGCATTTCAATAAGTAGAAATAGTAACAGTACCAAACATGTGTTTGGTACCATTCAATTTCAGGCTCAAACATTTAGGTGACAATGGAGAGGGAGAACTAGAGACATTTGAGAGCATATATATATATATATATATATATATAGATATAGATATATATAGATATATATATACGATTATGACAGGTATAATGATCTAGGAAATCAATATAGCAGAGATGAATTGGACAACCAGCAACGTTGTACATGTTGAAGAATTGCAGCTTGGTTGGATGCTAAGACACGGAGTACAAATGGCCATAACTTAGGCCTAATACCTTAGAGATGGAGTTAACGTTGGTAGTAAACAAATCAAAACTTGTGTCTTCTTTATACAATACTCAGAGAAGCCACACTTATCCATTAATAGGACAGTCACCGTAAATGAGCCAGTATATATATAGCGAAACGAAACACGTTGAGAAAAATTTCAAAGAAAATAGTAGTACTGAATAATTAAGAAAAAATTCAATATCAAAAACTGTGTTAAATTAGAAAATCATAATCTAATACTAATTTGGTAAATTCGAAATAGAATAGAAGTCCTATGTTGACACTAACTTGGTAATTGATTACTCGGTTGAATTAGTGATGTCATCTGAGATTCTTATGTGTTTTAGAATGGTCCCAACTTACATAGAACTTATTGACCTTCTCTTGTACTGCATCATCCTTTTAATTATGTTGTTTCTATTTTTTATCAAATTCAATTTATTGAACCCCATATATATATGCAATTTATTTATTTATTTTTGATACGCAATTTACACAAGCTTATATCTTATTTATTATGTTTTTGAATTCTCGGTGCTAATTAATATTTAATTATGAGCTTTATATATACTTACTCCAAATTAATTCCAATAACTTGATTCAGAACTCTTTCAGGTCTTCTTTCATCAATGACTTTTGGATTAATCACTCATCTCCTCGGTTTTCTATTCCTGTTGCTACCACTCCTTAGCGTCAGCCAAACTTATCGTAACATAAGCTTGGGTTCATCTCTATATGCTGCCAACGATAACTACTCTTCATGGACCTCACCTTCTGGCGAGTTTGCCTTTGGCTTCCAGGCCATAGGTACAAGAGGTTTCTTGCTTTCCATTTGGTTCAACAAATTACCTGATAAAACCATAGTCTGGTCTGCTAATCGAGATAAGTTGGTGCAACGAGGATCAAAAATTGAGCTGACAACAGATGGGCGCCTGGTCCTCAATGACTCCCAAGGTCGAGAGGTATGGAATGCCAGCCTGATCAACATGGAGAGAGCAAGCTACGCAGCCATGCTTGACAGTGGAAACTTTGTGCTAGCAAACCAAAACTCTACTAGCATATGGGAGACCTTTGATATACCAACTGACACCATACTCCCTACACAGACATTAAATAAAGGGAGTCGTCTTGTTTCTCGTCGATCAGAAACAGACTTTTCAAGTGGGAGGTTCCAACTCCGTTGGCAGGATGATGGTAGTCCCACACTTTGCAGAGTAGCTTTCCCAACAGATAAGGTTTATAATGCTTACTGGAAAATTAAAGCAACAAATACAAGTGTTGGGTTGGTCTTCAATGAGACTGGTAAAATTTTCCTTGCAGAAATACATCAAAGTACAGTAATAAATCCATCAGAAAATGGTACAACAAGAGACTCCTATCAGAGAGCCACACTTGATTTTGATGGAGTTTTCAGGCATTATGTCTACCCAAAAACCATCTCCAAAAGTGACCGAAGATCTCCCTATTCCTGGTCCCCTGTTTGGTTCGTACCTGAAAATATCTGCACAGCAATTTTTGGGCCCTATGGCAGTGGCGCTTGTGGGTTTAATAGCTATTGCATACTAGATGAGAACAAGAAACCTAATTGTGAATGCCCGCCTGGGTACACCTTGATAGATCCTAACAACAAGTGGAACGGCTGTAAACAGAACTTTGTTTCACAAAGGTGTGAAGAAGGATCTCAAGAAGCTTCTCTTTATGACATGATACCAATGGTTAACACCGATTGGCCATTGTCCGATTCTGAGGACTTCTCACCAGTGGATGAAAATTGGTGCACACAAACATGCTTGAACGATTGTTTCTGCGCAGTTGCCATTATTAGAGATGGACATTGTTGGAAAAAGAAGCTTCCAATGGGAATGGGAAGGACTGACCCATCTGTTGGGGGAAAAGCTCTGATCAAAGTCCCCAAAGGTTATTCTTCCTTACGGCAATCTCCAGGTATGGGTTTATCAGAAAAGAAACATCAAACGCGTTTGATCCTTATAGGATCATTCCTTATAGGATGCTCTCTGTTTCTACTACTGCTAGCTATTTCTCTGGTAACTTACCACTTATATCGTAAGAGACAACAGAAATCTCAGCCACATCAAGCCATGCCAGCTTTGAATGTACGAAATTTTACTTTCAAAGAGTTGGAAGAAGCTACAGAAGGATTTAACAATCTTATTGGTTCTGGTGCTTTTGCAACAGTTTACAAAGGAACCTTCGTAGTTGATAATAAGGTAAACTTCGTTGCAGTAAAGAAGCTAGACAAGTTGGTGAAGGAAAACCAGAAGGAATTTGATGCCGAAGTGAGTGCAATAGGTACAACGAATCACAAGAATTTAGTCCAACTACTAGGATTTTGTAACGAGGGAGAACATTATCTTCTAGTATACGAGTTCATGAACAATGGTTCTTTAGCAACCTTTCTCTTTGGGAGCTCAAAGCCTGATTGGAACCAAAGAGTTCGAATTGCATTCGGAATTGCAAGTGGGCTCGCATACCTGCATGAAGAGTGCAACACCCAAATTATCCATTGCGACATCAAGCCTCAAAACATCCTTCTAGATGATTCTTTTACAGCAAGAATCTCTGATTTTGGGTTGGCAAAGCTTTTGAAGGTTGATCAGACCCAAACTAACACAGACGTCAGAGGGACCAAAGGCTATGTTGCTCCTGAATGGTTCAATAATAGGACCATTACATCCAAGGTAGATGTTTATAGCTATGGAGTCATGTTGCTAGAGATTCTTTGTTGCAGGAGGAAGATTGAACCGCAACAAGATGATGAAAACAAGGTCATACTGATGGACTGGGCTTATGAGTGCTACATGGAAGGGAAACTTGATAAGTTGGTGGAGAATGACGATGATGCAATGGACGACAAGAAGAGGTTGGAGAAGTTTGTAAGGATTGCAATGTGGTGCATCCAGGAGGATCCATCACGAAGACCCACCATGAAGAAGGTCACACAAATGCTTGAAGGAGCCATTGAAGTTCTTGTCCCTCCCATGAACCCTTCCTCATCCATTAATTAGTTCAATTATCTCAAGCAGCACCCGCAATAATAAACATATATGTATTAATAAAGTGCCTGGTCTTGTTTGTTTACTAATCTAGCCAAACAAATCAGAGTCAGGATCTCCTACCCACACTTACCCATGCTTCATTTACTGCTGTAAATTGAGAACATCTCCCGTATTTGCATGTTACCATTCATGGGGAGATGTTCCCAATGTACAGCTATAGTGTCATATGTGTGTGCGGACTAGTTTGTTTACTATAGTACTATAGGCAAACAAATCACTCTTGTCATCAATTGAACACTATAAGGTTACTACCTCTTTTTCTCTCTCTCTCTCTCCCCTCCCCCTTTCACGATACTTCTTTGAATTACATGCATCTCAGTACTTCTGAAAAATATTGTTCACAAAGAAAAGTAATTAGAAAAAGTAATGTTGGAAAGATAGGATAGTGGTGTCAAATGGACTGGATTTGGTCCAATCCGGTCCAATCCAATATTTGTCCATTTACAAATGGATTGGACCAAATTTGGTTCAAATCCATGCAAATTAATGAAGTCAAATCCAGTTCAATTGAAATGCAAATGGACCAGATTGGATCCAATCCAATCCAAACTACATCTGCAATCCAATCCAATTCAATCCAATTAAAAACGCAAATGGGTTGTATTGGGTCCAATTCTATCCAAAGTCAATGAAACACCAAAATCACATGAAAAAACCCAGAAAATATTAAATTGTTGCAGCCCAATCTAGTCCAATTAAAGTGCAAATGAACTGGATTGGTCTAATCCGATCCAAAGTGAATGAAACACCAATATTACATAAGAAGTCCCAAAAAATATTAAAAAATTACAAAAACATATGCTGTAATCCTAACTTTTTGTTTACTTCTTTAAATATAAGTTCATCATCAATTAGTCCTTTTTGTTCCTTCTGTTTCTCCATGGAATGATGGAAATTAATTAGCTAATTTGAAGAGTGATACATGCAACATTTGATCAAAGTTATAGGTGCAATTACCTTATAACTTTTGTTGTTAAAACAAAAGTTAAGGAATGTTATAGGTTTAGAGACAGCACCAATTGCTAGTGTCTCCACTACAAAATAAGGCACATTTACCGACGATTTAAATCCGTTGGTAAAAGATAAAAAATCCGTCAGTATAGATCAATTTAGCCTATACTAACAGTCAAAGTATTTATGCCAGACATCACACAGTCGATTGTGATTAAAAAATGATTCAAGAAGAATAAGACAAGAAATTTGTCACATACTGGATCACTGTCTGCTAGACCTCGCTCCGGCCAGGGAGAAGCTTTTCTCTTCATTCGCCCACTCGAGAAGTGAATAATGGTACCCTTAGGGGAGGATGCCACAACAGTCACTTCCACTGGCTCCACAACGTCGCATTCCTATTCTCGCGATGAGGCCACATCCAAATCAACAGACTATGGCACCACTAGAGTTGGGAAGGAGTGTGGCACCCTCGTGGACCTTGGCCTTTTCGCAACAGGGGGACGACTGCATTCCTCCTCCTCAAAAACTAGGAGTCTCCTCTCACGCTTAGCCCCCACTTTCTCTCGTGAACACAATATAGTAAAAGATGGAATGTCTCCCTGATTAGTAGCATGACCTATCAGAGGAGCCAAAATATGATGGGGGTGGGGGTTCTTCCTCACCAACTCCTGAAAACCCTCAAATAAAGTGCAAAGGTAGGATAAATGGAGGGACATACAACCTTGCTCCCTCACCAACCCTGCGATAGGGAACTTCGAACAACCGGGAAAAGCACGGTCATGACGTCGAACCCAGAAGACGTCCTCCCCTAAAGACCTCAAGAACTGACCACCAATATTGTCATATCCAAATTGATGCATCACCTGGTCTGAGTGGTAGGCAGCCAATTGCGCTTCACTAGTGCGATCAAGATACGCCACCACTCCAGGCTATGTCACAAGTCATCCCACACCCGCAGCAGGGCTATCAATGCCCACCGCACACTGCTGATCATCGTCCATCGGAATGGACATGCCAACACAAAATGGCATGTTATGACGAACGGGTCGGGCATATGGTCTCCATACAATCCCATCTAGGGAGGCTAGCCTCATTTTGATCTCACTCATCTTAAAGCTTTTGTGCCTGGCAGCCTGAAGCCAACATTTTCCCTACAAATTTCAAACACCTTTTCCTCAAATTCCTCACCCTACAGAGTCACAATGGCAACCCGCATCAGCGAAAGGTTGCGAGGTGTGACGCTAAGATTAAGGCACTCACATAGGAACATCCAAAGGRACGACATACAAATATAGTCGATACACCTCTTGCAACTTGGGTCCACTATCTGATGGACAATGCCATCCATCTGATCGTAAAGGTTTCCTAGGAACATTGAAGCTAGAGGCAGCTAATGACCACTAGCAACAAGAACAGTGAGTAGAACCACAACTGTGTGCAAGCCATAGTCGGGGAGCCTAGGAAAAAGGAATCGGGAGGAAACATAAAGAACAAAAGCAACAAGATGGCACTAACTATTTGTGTCCCGCACCATTACATCCCTTTCGTCGTGAGACTCAAACTAGAATTCTAGCCATTAATCTAATTGCATCTTCCCCCGAGCACTGGTCCGATCTTCCTGAACCTTGTAAGATGCGATCTCGTGGAGGAGCTCATCGCAGAGCTCTCTACAGTCAACAGGAATAAATTCAATGTGTTAGAGGTTCTAGGTAGATACAACACCCCCAGTGGATAATGCTAACAAGGCAACCACATCCTCCACCATGATAATGAACTCCCCAAAAGCCCCAACGAAAATGTGGGTACGACAACACCAGTGCTCCAACAAACGGCCCACGTACTTTACCTCCTCCCTACTAGTAAGATTCATGTAGCAATTTACGAATCTAAGCAAACCAGAATCCTGCAGCATTTGACAGCACACATAGTTTTCGAGGACATAGCCCGCCCAAGTAGTATAGCTATTGGGGGACCTCGCGCTATCAGTTTTGGACTCCTAACACTTATAGGACACAGATTGGTCCAACTACCCACATAGACATAGTAATTCGGTGCCATTGATGAGGTCAAATATACACTTCACACCCCTCGCAACCGGGACCGGAGGCCAGAAACCTCGTTCCCCTTTGGATGATATAGCCACTTCCCTCAACAACAATAGTTTTGTCGTGTCCACCTCCCTAATGAAATCATAGAAAGGACAACCCATCCCCTTCTCCCCTTTCTTTTAACAATGAGCCATGATGAACAGACAAGAGAAAGACAAATACAAGGAGGTCAATAGAAAAAAAAAAAAACAAACAAACAAAAGGCAAAGGAAGAAACATGAAAGTGAAACAATCTAGCAAGAGAAAGAAGACAAAGTGAGGAGTTTATGTAGGTTATAGTCCTTTTATAAAATACCTCTCATGTGCCAGGAAGGGAAACGACGCCGAGGAAGATGAACAGACGCAAGTACGGGTGCCCACCTATTGCTTAATGAAAAAGTAAAATATGTTAATTTACAGAAACACCCTCCAAAGGGCGGGACATATTGGCGCATTAATTTAAACACATTGCTACATCAGCAACTGCCACTTTAAATATCGGAGACTAAAATGGTGCCACACAATCGAACAGGCCATATTAATTACGGAGCAAAGAACGAGATATTGCTAATCATAACAGCCACGTGGACATCAGCCAATGACTTTCTTGATTCCCATCAACAGCGGAATATGATACACCATCGAAGCACTGATCCTACTAACACCATGCACTAAGCACAGATTCCCATACCAACACAAAATACATTTGTATCTCTTGCTAAACCCCTTACTGTCAACGATAAGGGGGGCCAAAATCCAAAAAAAAATCAACACAAACTTGCCCATTGCCAAAAAGGGGTAACACACATTGCAAATCCCTATGCCTCTTGCTTATCCCCTTCCTAACAACGGTTAGAGGGGCTGAAATACAAAAACTTGCCTGTTGCCAGAAAGGGGCAACACACAATGCAATTCCCTATGCCTTCTGCTAATCCCCTTCCTAGCAATAGTCAAGGGGGCTGAAATTCAAAAACTCAACACGAACTTGCCCAATGCCAGAAAGGGGTAATGCACAGTGCAATTCACAATGTCTTTTGCTAATTCCCTTCCTATCAACGGTCAGGGGCTAAACCATGGAATGCAAGAAACCCCCATCGAAGACACGAAGTGCACACCATCTACACATAGAGTAAATCCCCAGACCCAATGCACACAAACAAGCCCACCACAAGACCTAAAAGTAAGTGTGAAAGCAAAGTGCTTATCGATAAGCTCTCACTTACTGATAAGAAAAGGGGCTAATGTAGGTATATAGCGCTGATTTAGTCCCCCGGAGCACAACACCGTATCGATACCACATGAACGTCTGCGATCAACTTGTAGTTAGCTATCCTTTTGTGATGAACCCATGACACACAGGTCTGCAATGAACCCACGACGTGCATCGCAGAACCGTGATAAACCCGTAGTTCATCGCACGCTCTCGAAGAACCCATTCACAGCTTGAGCCAAGGCAAACCTGGGCTGAACCTGCAATGAGGTTCACATGCACTGGGCCTCATGATCAACCTTCAATCACTACGGTACCTCGGCCAGCTATAGAATCGTGTCCACATGCCACCCACGCGCATAATGTCATGGAGACGAACGTGGCAGGGAGCCACGTAAGCCTCACAAGGCATCGTCCGCCAGACTGTGATGTCACTAGCGCCACGTTATTTTAATAAAGCACGCAAGAGGCAGTAGCACATGTGAGTTATAAGGATCCCTGAGTGAAAGGAAAGCCGATCCTCGAAAAGATCCCCATAGGGACACGTGGCGAAACCCCAATGGTTCCCTTAATGATTGACAACAAATCCAATATCCCTTTTCCTAATAGGAAATGAGCTCCTTTGAATCCTTCCTTTTAGGATATCGGGATCTCCCCCATAAATAGGGAGCCTCCTCATAATGGAGCTCATTCAGTAATGAAGTACCCTTGCCGTCGACTTCCAGCTCTACCACCCGAGCTTGACGCCCTAGCCTGAGACCCAATCCCCTCTGACTCTTAGTCTTTCTTTGTCTTTTAAAGATACTTCTCCCCCTACCTAGCATTTACCCTACCTACAAATAACATAGAAAGGAGGAGAAAATTAAAGAGAAATGGTTGCCTACTTACTCACAAAGGGGAAAGAAATTGAGAGGCAAATGAAAATAGTTATGCATTATTCTCCAATTTACCAAAACAAGGAGGGAGAAAAAATCTGCATGAAAAACATCTTCCATTGAAGAAAATGTAAGGAT